TGATATGGCCGCAACTGATGTTAGCGTTGATGATCGCAAAATAGTACCGCATGTCAGTGGGTTAGAGGAATTATTTTCTGTTAAAATAAAACAGGACATTGTTTTGTTTGATCTTTGCGCCAACGAGAAGGAAGAGAAGTCTCTGGACGTGCATGTATTAAAGGAGAGTAATTACATGCAAGGTGAAGAGGTAAATCAAGACGTGACATCTGCATGCAACATTGATCAAGCAAGGACTGGCAAGGAAACATAAACACTCTCCAAATTTTGGAAAGCTAATGGAGCCTACGTACATACATGGGAGTATAGGATCTGTGATCTATTTGACCCAGCCAATAAAATCAAAGAAAGGAATTTGTTTTTATTCTTGTCACTTCCACGTAAAAAGAAGGTCCCTCAATCTGGCAAGACTTGGAGGTTGCTAGTACGTGATTTGCTTTCATTAAAGGATACGGGCTGGGGTCCACCTCAGATTATCATATATGCCGAGATGTAAAAGGCAGTTTAATTAGAGATAAGAGTTTGACTTGTTTACGTACACTAGTTTTATTGTTTGTCGGTCAAGTTAAAAGGGTCAGCTATACTAGTATAAATAGCCATAGTACGGTCAATGTAAAGGAGGTTATTTGATAAAATAGACACGATGTGTTTTTAAGGGTAAACACCCGTATCAAGTTTTAGAGGGATCTTTAGAAAACCTCTGTGTTGCGATTTCTTTGTAGAAATTGTTTTTGCGCGTGAATATCATCGTCGAGATTGATTTTCTCATGCTGGGCCGTAAGGTTCAAACCCTCTATTTTTCGTGCATATCGCATGCACGGGTGAGAGGCTACTGCTGCTGAAGGTGGAGTGTCGTGAAAGGTCGGACCACAACAACAGACCGGATCTTGCCAACGGGGTTCGGTCTACATCAAGTGGTATTCAGAGTAAAGGTTGTTCACGACACAATATTTTTCTTCGAGTTACTATTGTAATTTTTTTATCATGAGAAAAGATTGTAGCTCGCAAATGATGATGGCGGTCGAGAAGGATCCCTTGCGTTCCTTGCCTTGGTACCAATGCTTTACGCGTGTGCGCGTCGGGCCGACGAGTTGTGCAACATTGATGAATTGCTACTCTAGTATGAATATGGTGAGTCAGACTATGGTTGATGCTTTGAACTTGTCATTGATTGAACATCCAGAACCGTATGAGCTTTGGTGGAAGGACAAGTTTGTCAAGATCATGCATCGCGTTGAGGTACGGTTTATTCTATGTGGATATGACGATATGGTCATGTGTGATGTGCTTCCTACGCACATACATAGATGTTCAATACTGCTAGGAAAACCATGGACAGATAAAAGACAGTTGACATATCATTCGGTTGGCGAATTTTCTTTTGTTCGTGGAGGACAATACGTAGCACTTGATTCGTACACATTGGAGAAGTATAGGGCTGATCGCAAGAAGCGGGACATTGCTCAAGCTGCATCTGAAGTAAAGAAGAAGAAGGTTGAAGCCGCTGAAAATTTTCCAAGCATCGTTCAAACTGCAAATACAAATATTGTTGAAGAGATAGATTCGAAACCGAGGACGGTTTCGTTTCAAAGAGGAGAGGATGATATGGCCGCAACTGATGTTAGCGTTGATGATCGCAAAATAGTACCGCATGTCAGTGGGTTAGAGGAATTATTTTCTGTTAAAATAAAACAGGACATTGTTTTGTTTGATCTTTGCGCCAACGAGAAGGAAGAGAAGTCTCTGGACGTGCATGTATTAAAGGAGAGTAATTACATGCAAGGTGAAGAGGTAAATCAAGACGTGACATCTGCATGCAACATTAATCAAGCAAGGTCTGGCAAGGAAACAGAAACACTCTCCAAATTTTGGAAAGCTAATGGAGCCTACGTACATACATGGGAGTATAGGATCTGTGATCTATTTGACCCAGCCAATAAAATCAAAGAAAGGAATTTGTTTTTATTCATGCCACTTCCACGTAAAAAGAAGGTCCCTCAATCTGGCAAGACTTGGAGGTTGCTAGTACGTGATTTGCTTTCATTAAAGGATACGGGCCGGGGTCCACCTCAGATTATCATATATGCCGAGATGTAAAAGGCAGTTTAATTAGAGATAAGAGTTTGACTTGTTTACGTACACTAGTTTTATTGTTTGTCGGTCAAGTTAAAAGGGTCAGCTATACTAGTATAAATAGCCATAGTACGGTCAATGTAAAGGAGGTTATTTGATAAAATAGACACGATGTGTTTTTAAGGGTAAACACCCGTATCAAGTTTTAGAGGGATCTTTAGAAAACCTCTGTGTTGCGATTTCTTTGTAGAAATTGTTTTTGCGCGTGAATATCATCGTCGAGATTGATTTTCTCGTGCTGGGCCGTAAGGTTCAAACCCTCTATTTTTCGTGCATATCGCGTGCACGGGTGAGAGGCTACTGCTGCTGAAGGTGGAGCGTCGTGAAAGGTCGGACCACAACAACAGACCGGATCTTGCCAACGGGGTTCGGTCTACATCAAGTGGTATTCAGAGCAAAGGTTGTTCACGACACAATATTTTTCTTCGAGTTACTATTGTAATTTTTTTATCATGAGAAAAGATTGTAGCTCGCAAATGATGATGGCGGTCGAGAAGGATCCCTTGCGTTCCTTGCCTTGGTACCAATGCTTTACGCGTGTGCGCGTCGGGCCGACGAGTTGTGCAACATTGATGAATTGCTACTCTAGTATGAATATGGTGAGTCAGACTATGGTTGATGCTTTGAACTTGTCATTGATTGAACATCCAGAACCGTATGAGCTTTGGTGGAAGGACAAGTTTGTCAAGATCATGCATCGCGTTGAGGTACGGTTTATTCTATGTGGATATGACGATATGGTCATGTGTGATGTGCTTCCTACGCACATACATACATGTTCAATACTGCTAGGAAAACCATGGACAGATAAAAGACAGTTGACATATCATTCGGTTGGCGAATTTTCTTTTGTTCGTGGAGGACAATACGTAGCACTTGATTCGTACACATTGGAGAAGTATATGGCTGATCGCAAGAAGCGGGACATTGCTCAAGCTGCATCTGAAGTAAAGAAGAAGAAGGTTGAAGTCGCTGAAAATTTTCCAAGCATCGTTCAAATTGCAAATACAAATATTGTTGAAGAGATAGATTCGAAACCGAGGACGGTTTCGTTTCAAGGAGGAGAGGATGATATGGCCGCAACTGATGTTAGCGTTGATGATCGCAAAATAGTACCGCATGTCAGTGGGTTAGAGGAATTATTTTCTGTTAAAATAAAACAGGACATTGTTTTGTTTGATCTTTGCGCCAACGAGAAGGAAGAGAAGTCTCTGGACGTGCATGTATTAAAGGAGAGTAATTACATGGAAGGTGAAGAGGTAAATCAAGACGTGACATCTGCATGCAACATTGATCAAGCAAGGTCTGGCAAGGAAACAGAAACACTCTCCAAATTTTGGAAAGCTAATGGAGCCTACGTACATACATGGGAGTATAGGATCTGTGATCTATTTGACCCAGCCAATAAAATCAAAGAAAGGAATTTGTTTTTATTCTTGTCACTTCCACGTAAAAAGAAGGTCCCTCAATCTGGCAAGACTTGGAGTTTGCTAGTACGTGATTTGCTTTCATTAAAGGATACGGGCTGGGGTCCACCTCAGATTATCATATATGCCGAGATGTAAAAGGCAATTTAATTAGAGATAAGAGTTTGACTTGTTTACGTACACTAGTTTTATTGTTTGTCGGTGAAGTTAAAAGGGTCAGCTATACTAGTATAAATAGCCATAGTACGATCAATGTAAAGGAGGTTATTTGATAAAATAGACACGATGTGTTTTCAAGGATAAACACCCGTATCAAGTTTTAGAGGGATCTTTAGAAAACCTCTGTGTTGCGATTTCTTTGTAGAAATTGTTTTTGCGCGTGAGTATCATCGTCGAGATTGATTTTCTCGTGCCGGGCCGTAAGGTTCAAACCCTCTATTTTTCGTGCATATCGCGTGCACGGGTGAGAGGCTACTGCTGCTGAAGGTGGAGTGTCGTGAAAGGTCGGACCACAACAACAGACCGGATCTCGCCAACGGGGTTCGGTCTACATCAACACTTCATCGTCAAGGTCTTCATCAACGTGATCTTCACCAACATCATCGTCAGACACACCGCCTGCCGCCTCATCCACAAAATGGACAACTAGCGTCATTTGACAGAGTTTTTTGCAAGACACGACCTCGACGATGGCAATGACCGTGTCATGACGACGGCATCAACCGCGTCATCCACGACGGCACGACTGCATCGACACGGCGTCACTATGGTGACGACCCTACACGGCCACACGGTTCTGGCAAAACCGATGTGTGCTCGATGGGCTTCTTCCGGTCTTGGCAAAACCGGCGGACTCATCGCCGACGACACCCTCTCACTTCCACAAGGTGCGTCGTCCACGGCTGCAGCTCAGTCACAGCGCATTTTTTTGCGCCTTCGGTTTAGTGCGGTTTCATCATCCATGATGACTACGCCATCGACCACGACTACCTCGACCACGGCTACATCACCATGATCGGCTACCTCGACATTGACATTAATGGCTACGTCTACAGCAACTCATCGGCAACAACTCCAGTCAACAGCGTCCGCGTCATCACTAGCGTCCACGCCACTCCCGCTGTGACTGCGGGAGGGAATAGAGGAGAAGGCAGGAAGGCACCAGAAGGGGACGCAGTCACCGCCCTAGGTGCCGACCCATCAAAGACGCAGTTGATGATGGCGTGGCGGAGAAGACGACGGAAGCACAAGAGTTCAAATTCAGTCGCCATCGTCCGCTTCACTCCCGCTACGACTAAGGGGGAATGTTAGAAGTATAATTATATTTAAGTTAGAGATTAGGAGTTAGAGATATGATTGGTTTAAACCATGTACGACTTGTCCCCTACTTCAAGTTTCTTCTCATATTGTACTTTATATATATTCCACATCTGGGTCAGATCAATACAACAACACAATATTCAGCCATCTCATATTTTCTACACGGAGTGCAGTCATCTCCTGCAGCGACTCAAGCTTTGGGCAGCAGTTGATCGCAAGCTTTTGCAATTTGGGCAAATTGGAGATGCTAGTCAGCTCTGGTAAGTCATACAGGTCGAGCTCAACTACGGAGGCGAAGTTCTCTAGAGAGTGGAGGCACTGAATGGACCATATGGTTAGCTTTTTCAAAGCCCTTGCATGGGACACGAGGCCGAGAGGAATACGCCTCAGTTTACAGCCATGGATTATAAGCTCCTCCAAGACAGGCATTGCTTGCACTTCCTCCTCCCAATCCCACTCCTCCAATTCCACCATTTTCCTAAAGATCATCTTGTTCAGTCTCGGAAATGCAGCTAGCGCCTGAAATGAAGCATGGTGATGGTGACTATAGGGGTGCAAGAATTCAGGACCGACACGCTTGATTGCCGGAGCACGGTTGACCTCCAGGTAATCCAGATATGGGAGCTGGCACAAGCCATCTGGGAGTTGGGTGCAACAAGCCAGGTCTTCAAATATTAGTATCCTCAAGCTATTGAGGGGCGTCGTTGCTGTCGACATCATCCATTTTGGGAGCTGACGCCCGAAATATCCTTGGATGCGAATATCTTGCACATAAGGCGGAGGATGGAGTTCATCAAACACCTCCATAATTGTTCCTTGATCCTGCTCAGAAACTTCTTCCTTCACTAATCCATCATCGCCTAGCCTGCTCTTACAGTATAAGGCCATGCAGGAAAGATAGACCTTTTCACTCAGCCTTGCCTTTGTGGCAAATGAGGCAGCAGATACATTCTCCAGACTTGCTAATCCAATTTCCCCAAGCTGGGAAAGAGGCTGGAGCTCTTCCAAACTACACCAATCACCATCCATGTGGGTATGGAACCCCCAAAGTATCCTCAAATTTGTGAGAGCAGAGAACCCCCTAGGCATACTACTTACAGATGTGCCGTAAAGTTCAAGATATCTCAGTCCTTGTAACTTTACAATGGTATCCGGAAGTTTCACAAGATTCTGACAACCAGCAACACTAATGTGCTGCAAGAACTTCATTTTGTGAATGTTCTCTGGCAAGCTCTTTATATCATTGCATTCCCTTAGTGCCAAATACCTCAAGTGTTTGAGCTGATACAAAGATTTGAACAATGCAGCAAAATTTGCATACTCTATGTGCAGAGTCCGTAGACTTGAAAAAGGAATCAAGGAATCACCAGACTGAATCTTAAATTTTCCAACTAGTATTAATGATCTAAGTGATTTCTGCTCATGTAAACTCCTCCACTCAAATTCATCTGATTCCACTCCTCTGGTTTCTATGGACAACCTAAGAAACCTTTGCAAACTAAGTTTACTATTAACAGTTCCTCCGCGGTGAGCTACTAGTGCTTCATCTCTAGTCACATATTGAGCGAATGAACGAACAACATCATGCATGTTGCAAATATATTGACCGGCATATGATGTATCTGACTCTATAAGGTTCCTCAATATTAGCTCTTTATGGTACTCAATTCCTAGTTCTTCCAATCTATCAGAGTCTCCATGAACAAATCCTTCACCAATCCACATGCCGACCAATTGTACGTCATGTATAATTGTCTTCTTAGGCTTAAGGGAGAAGTGCAGAAAGCATTGCTTTAAAGAAGGGGACAAGTCCCCGTAGCTAATATATATTGCATAATTTAGCTCTTCTGGCATTCGAGATATTGACCATATAGCATCATTCAGAACTTTCTCCCAATCACATCGCTGTTTATCCTTTTGGCATAGGAGTCCTCCCATCACTTTTATTGCAAGTGGTAACCCATCACATTTTTCTATAATTTCCAGTCCAATATCCTTTAGCATATCAATCGCAGGTTCACTTTTCTCTGTAGCGAGTACCTGCAAGCAGTTTAAGCATATAAAATTAATGAGAAGCATATTACATATTTCTGTGGCTAGTGAAGTTCTTTTATTTCCTGATATGCTATCTCAGAGAGAATCAGTCCATGTACTACTTAAAGTGAATTGTCTCTTCACATGTTGATTAATAGGTCGAGGCAAATGTTCGTCGGATTGTTTATTTTTCATTGAACTGGCACACAAAAGTACTACCTCCGTGACTTAATATAAGACGTTTTTTGACACTATGACAGTGTCAAAAACGTTTTATATTATGATACCGAGGGAGTAGAACATAATCTCCCTCCTTCTATGTCGGATTGGTTACTCAAATAAACAAGCAACACAATCTGGAGTAATCAGGACCAGTGGTCGCAAGTGCACAAAATTAATACAATAAATCACTAGCAAGTATGCTATACTAAGACTTAACACCGTGCAAGAGGAATCAATGCAGTAAGCATTCGAAGTACATTAATCCATGGCTAGTGTTCATCAATGGACGATTAAGTTATTATTAACTTCAATAGAGGTTACTACTAGTAATTGCAAAATTACCTGCTTCTTCAGCAAGGTCCATGCATCTTCAGGCCCTAATTTGCCAACATGGTGGTAGGGATGCTTGGCTTTCATGCCTCGGGTAACAGTCTCATGTCTTGTGGTGACAAGGATTCGACTATTGGATGCAGCATGGCTAAAGGGAGCCATGAGCAAGTTGTTCCATTCATTGGTTCCCCACATGTCATCCAACACAAGAAAAATCTTCTTGTCCCTGACGGCGTCAGCAAGAGCTGGCACAAGCAATGCTTTATCCTGAGACCCACCCCCCGAGCCAGGCAGGTTTCCATTGGCAGCTGTGATGGCCGTCCTCAGCAACTCAACCTCATTGAACACCTGTGTGATGCTCAGCCATATCTTCTTGGCGAATTTGCCCTGGATGGCCTCGTCGTTGAAGACCTTCTTGCTGAGGGTAGTCTTACCAATTCCACCGACACCAACGATGGCAACAATCATGATGCTATCACTATCATCAGCTACTTCCTCTGTGAGCACCTTCACAAGCGCTCTCGTGTCATCTTCAATCTTCTCCCCAACCACACGCGACCGCTCCAACAACGGATCCGTCTTGCGGTCAACAGCTTGAGAACGGGTCACCATCCGGTCCTGGTAGGCTTCTAGCTTGATGAAATTTAAACTACTACCCCTCTTGAAGATGTCATCCAACTTTTGGTTAAGTGTCTTCATGCGGCTGCCAATGTTATGGGTATGGAGGGGGTTCCTCATGCAGAAGAGCAGAGGGTTAAGGCACCCCATATCCTTGGATGGACCTTGCTCCATGACTTTGAGCTGACACAAGTCAAGGATGTCGGTAACATCATACATGGCGCACTTCAGTTCCTCCACCCACCCCTGCACGCTCTCATCAGTGATGTTCCTCCTATCGGCATCTGCAAGGAAGTTCTTGAGGTCCCTAAGCTTGATGCCCAGATTTTCTATCTCACCGGCCACTCCAATCAGCATGGCCACCTCTTCTTTGGCCATCTCGATGACCATGTCAGCCACGTAGGATGCCAAAGAATCCAGGACCGCCGCCATACTGCTGCAATGAGCTCACTTTTGGTGCTACAAAAAATAAGCAAACAAATTACTCCTTTTATTATTACCACCAACAATCCCATGCTTCAAATAGAATGTCACCTAAAAAAATTAATTCACTTGAGACTACCGATTGAATTGGTCTTGATCCAATATTCAACTACGAAACAAAATATTCTGGAATGTAGTCTAACTCTATCACAGTTGAGATGATATTGGCTCTATTACCCATGCCCAATCAAACACCGCAAATATCAAACCCGATTCTAAGTAAAAGTAAGGGTTTCCTTTCTGATAAAAAGGAAAAACTTCTTCTAAGAACAAAAGGCAGCATCTTTATTCTGTAATAAGGTTACAATCACGTCGCAAGTAGTAGGTTAGCAATTGCACAACAACTATATGCACAACATTACTAGAAGATAAAAATAGAGATAGAAAGCTCATGGATTGTCTTCATGTTATACAGGTATACAACTACGAAAAGCGTTAAGACTGACGATGAACCAAACAAATCTAGAGAAATAGTACAACACACACGCACGCGGAGAGAGCAGCGAGATTACCTTCATTAAATTGGAGAGATTAGAAATGAATGGGTTGATCTTCCTCCGGTGATGCTCTAGTACTGAAATTTGTGGAAGCACCAGAGGATCGAACTTTGTTTCCTCCGTCCATGCTCTACAGCTGTAGTACTATAGCCTGTGGAAGCGCAAGAGAACCGAACTTCGTTTCCTTCGGTCATGCTCTACTACTGTACTTCTGGAAGCACCAGAGGATGAACTTCATTTATAATATATAGACAAAAGGGAAATACTTTAGAAGTCGTTAGATGACACCCTTCGATCACACTGAATGACTTAACCCTGACTACAAGGTGATGCTGCTAACAAGTTTAAAATGCTGAATGACTTAGCCCTGATTCTAACAAATAATTCATAGTGGTGATGCTGTTAGCTAGTAGTATATGATTGTTCAGGAATGGGTAATTATTTCTGGACTAGTTGGGCGGGCATGTATTATCTATCAGATTCATATGCATCTATTGATGTAATCAGTTATAGTTATTAAATCCTTGCTACTCATCAAACAAAAGGGGAAAGAGTAAAAAATGCTGGGTGGCGCCTAGTGATGCCATGATGATTGTGGCCTGCCTCCACAGAATACATCCATCTACCAGCAAACAATTCTTGGTAAACTTGCAAGATGTGACAAGTGGATGGGTAAACTTGCAAGTGGATGGCCAACTTGAAATATGTAACTCTTGGTAATCCAAGCTAAGAGGCGCAGGATGTGACAAGAGGAGCTTCCCATGCCCATTTAAGTTTCTTATCTTAATCCAATAACACCTTTTATTTTTTTTTCTCAAAAAATAAAATAAAGTTACAAGCAACTTTGGTGCGAACGCAGAAACATATGTCATGTTAGTTTTACAATGCATGCTGACAAGCTTTATACCACCGTATTTTTCATATATACAAGTTAATCATAGCATAATGGCATATCTACATTACTTGCATCTTCGTGTTCTTGGCAGCAAACCTTTCCTCAAGTCTTCTATTATTAAGTAGAGCCACATGCTGCACAGAGGCACCAATACTTGGTATGAGTAGCTAGACTGCTAGAGCGAGATCTGGAGGCTGCAATTGATTCCACCTGGATGCAGAAGATCATCTGAGTTAAATTATAAATCCACGTGGTATAAACATAAAATTATATTGCCAAGAAAAAGTGCCGAGTCAGAGTTACTATAACAACAACAAAGCCTTTAGTCCCAAACAAGTTGGGGTAGGCTAGAGGTGAAACCCATAAGATCTCGCAACCAACTCATGGCTCTGGCACATGGATAGCAAGCTTCCACGCACCCCTGTCCATAGCTAGCTCTTTGTCGATACTCCAATCCTTCAGGTCTCTCTTAATAGACTCCTCCCATGTCAAAATCGGTCGACCCCGCCCTCTCTTGACATTCTCCGCATGCTTTAGTCGTCCGCTATGCACTGGAGCTTCTGGAGGCCTGCGCTGAATATGCCCAAACCATCTCAAACGATGTTGGACAAGCTTCTCCTCAATTGGTGCTACCCCAACTCTATCTCGTATATCATCATTCCGGACTCGATCCTTCCTCGTGTGGCCACACATCCATCTCAACATACGCATCTCCGCCACACCTAACTGTTGAACATGTCGGCCTTTAGTCGGCCAACACTCCGCGCCATACAACATTGCGGGTCGAACCGCCGTCCTGTAGAACTTGCCTTTTAGCTTTTGTGGCACTCTCTTGTCACAGAGAATGCCAGAAGCTTGGCGCCACTTCATCCATCCGGCTTTGATTCGATGGTTCACATCTTCATCAGTACCCCCATCCTCCTGCAACATTGACCCCAAATACCGAAAGGTGTCCTTCCGAGGTACCACCTGGCCATCAAGGCTAACCTCCTCCTCCTCACAGCTAGTAGTACTGAAACCGCACATCATGTACTCGGTTTTAGTTCTACTAAGCCTAAACCCTTTCGATTCCAAGGTTTGTCTCCATAACTCTAACTTCCTATTTACCCCCGTCCGACTATCGTCAACTAGCACCACATCATCCGCAAAGAGCATACACCATGGGATATCTCCTTGTATACCCCTTGTGACCTCATCCATCACCAATGCAAAAAGATAAGGGCTCAAAGCTGACCCCTGATGCAGTCCTATCTTAATCGGGAAGTCATCGGTGTCGACATCACTTGTTCGAACACTTGTCACAACATTATTGTACATGTCCTTGATGAGGGTAATGTACTTTGCTGGGACTTTGTGTTTCTCCAAGGCCCACCACATGACATTCCGCGGTATCTTATCATAGGCCTTCTCCAAGTCAATGAACACCATATGCAAGTCCTTTTTATGCTCCCTATATCTCTCCATAAGTTGTCGTACCAAGAAAATGGCTTCCATGGTCGACCTCCCAGGCATGAAACCAAACTGATTTTTGGTCACGCTTGTCATTCTTCTTAAGCGGTGCTCAATGACTCTCTCCCATAGCTTCATTGTATGGCTCATCAGCTTAATTCCACGGTAATTAGTACAACTCTGAACATCCCCCTTGTTCTTAAAGATTGGTACTAATATACTCCGTCTCCATTCTTCTGGCATCTTGTTTGCCCGAAAAATGAGGTTGAAAAGCTTGGTTAGCCATACTATCGCTATGTCCCCGAGACCTTTCCACACCTCAATGGGGATACAATCAGGGCCCATCGCCTTGCCTCCTTTCATCCTTTTTAAAGCCTCCTTCACCTCAGACTCCTGGATGCGCCGCACAAAACGCATGCTGGTCTCATCAAAGGAGTCATTCAGTTCAATGGTAGAACTCTCATTCTCCCCATTGAACAGCTTGTCGAAGTACTCCCGCAATCTATGCTTAATCTCTTCGTCCTTCACCAAGAGTTGGCCTGCTCCGTCCTTGATGCATTTGACTTGGCCAATATCCCTCGTCTTCCTCTCCCGGATCTTAGCCATCTTATAGATGTCCCTTTCACCTTCCTTCGTGCCTAACCGTTGGTAGAGGTCCTCATATGCCCGACCCCTTGCTTCACCAACAGCTCGCTTTGTGGCCTTCTTCGCCATCTTGTACTTCTCTATGTTGTCTGCACTCCTATCCAGGTATAGGCGTCTGAAGCAATCTTTCTTCTCTTTAAGCGCCTTCTGGACATCATCATTCCACCACCAGGTATCCTTATCTTCGCTTCTCCTTCCCCTGGACACTCCAAACTCCTTCGAGGCCACCTTACGAATGCAAGTCGCCATCTTCATCCACACATTGTCCGCATCCCCTCCTTCCTCCCAAGGGCCCTCCTTAAATACCCTCTCCTTGAACACCTGAGCTACCTCCCCCTTGAGCTTCCACCACTTCGTTCTAGCGACCTTGGCACGCTTATCCCGCTGGACACGAATCCGAAAGCGGAAGTCAGCAACCACCAGCTTATGCTGGGGTACAACACTCTCCCCAGGTATCATCTTACAGTCTAGGCACGCACGCCTATCTTCTCTTCTCGAGAGGATGAAATCAATCTGGCTAGAGTGTTGGCCACTACTAAAAGTCACCAGATGTGATTCTCTCTTTCTAAAGAGGGTGTTAGCTACAATCATGTTGTAGGCTAGAGCAAAGCTTAAGACATCTTCTCCTTCTTGATTCCTGATGCCATAGCCGAAGCCCCCATGCGCCCCTTCAAAACCTGTGTTAGATGTACCCACATGGCCATTGAGGTCTCCTCCTATGAAGAGCTTCTCACCAATCGGTACACTCCTAACCATGTCTTCCAAGCCTTCCCAGAACTCCCTCTTGGTGTTCTCATTGTGGCCTACTTGCGGGGCATATGCGCTGATAACATTGAGAACCAAGTCCTCAGCTACCAGCTTGACCAGGATAATCCGGTCCCCACGTCTCCTGACGTCTACCACTCCATACTTGAGGCTCTTGTTGATCAAGATGCCTACGCCATTTCTGTTTGCAGTCGTCCCCGTGTACCACAGCTTGAAGCCGGTATCCTCCACCTCCTTCGCCTTCTGTCCTCTCCATTTGGTTTCTTGGACGCAAAGGATATCAACACCTCTCCTCACTGCTGCATCAACTAGCTCCCGAAGCTTCCCTGTCAGAGACCCTACGTTCCAGCTACCTAAGCGAATCCTCCTAGGCTCGGCTAGCTTCCTTACCCTTCGCACTCGTCGAGTCAAATGCGAAGACCCTTGCTCATTTTCCACTACATCCGGGCGCCGATGTAGCGCGCCACTAAGGATGCGACGACCCGATCCTCGCTCACTTGCCACCGTATCCGGATCAAGATACGGCGCGCCACTTGGGGGGTGACGGCCCGGCCCTTGCCCATTTTCCATCACACCCGGGTTCCGATGTGGCGCGTCGCTGAGAGGGTTACGCCCCAACGAAAATCTTTTGGGTTTCATCTCCATAAGAGTGGCTGAGTTTTTACGTTGGCTCACCAAGCCTATCACAACCCTCCTCCTTTACCCGGGCTTGGGACCGGCTATGTTGAGACAACATAGGCGGAGTTACTATCTGTCAGTCAATTATTTAAAGCTCCCCACAAAAGAAAAACTAATTATTTAAAGCTGTGGTAACGTCAGGCTGATATAATTAGGTCGATCCAACTTATCATCATGAACTACAAAAGCATTGCACATATAAGAATAGGTAGATCTAACAAGAAATTTCAAGGTATATGAAGTAAACTGAGGTGGACATTCACTGCTAACAGCCTAACACGCAATGTGAACCTGCCCTGTCTGCTTATTCATAGTGTATATAACAAGCAATTTGTTACCTTAAACACAAAAGAACGGACTGGAAACAAAAACAGCAGGTGGAGTTAGAGAGAAATTCAAGGGACACAATCATTGGAAGTGCCTCCGGTTCATGCAGTGGGCATACTAGTCCATTAACAACGAGGAATTAGCTGGAGGAGTTGCATTTGTCAGTATGCTATTTGCTATAGCCTATTGTATTCATCAAACAGAGGTGGACATATACATACAACATGATAACACACCAAACAATACGCCGAAGGAACCAAGGCAATGAGGATTGAAGATTTTTTGCCGAAAAAGGGTTCCCCCCCGCTTTGTATATAAAGCAACCAACCGATACATCCAACGATAGATGCTGGGGCGGAAACAGCACAGTCACGCCCAAAAGAAAAGAAAGAGAAAATACAAGAGAAACAAATGCCAACAGCAGCGGATTGACAAAAAAAGGAGAAGCCTCGTGGCTGTTGCACCCACCAGAGATCGCCCACCAAGCTCCGAGCCTCCGAGGCACCGGTACCAATCAGCACCTCCAAGAAGCGACGCGACGATGACGGCGCTGCTGCCAAGGGTTTCCCCCGGTACGCTGTGAGGAGAGAGGAAGGGTAGCCCCGACGCCCTCCAGGAAGGTTAGGCGGTACCCACAAGCGCCACCGTGTCGGTGTCGACCAAGCCAACAAGGATTTCTCCTGATCCCACCCTCCACCTCAGACACTTCAGAGCTCGCCACCAAACAGACTCTCACCCTGCGCCAACCCGGTTATGAAGCTTCCCACTCCAAAGGATTGAAGATTTTGTCTGCATAGTTTATCATTATTATTTAGTTGAGTTAGAAGTATATCCTGACCTGCTTATTAAGCAATGACCAAACATCTTCTGGTCCTAATTTGCTGGCATGATGGTAGGGATGCCCGAGCAACAGTATCATGTCTTGTTCATGTTGTGACGATCAATGACTTTGGCTGCTAGGGGCTCCGTGGCTAAAAGGAGTCTTTAGTGGGTTGTTCCTCTAAAAGAACTTTTTGCCCCTGATGGTGCTGGCAAGAGCCAATACAAGCATGACCATGTTTCCATTCGACACTCAAGTCCGAGAAAGTGCCTCTCGATGGTAACAATGGCTGTCCTAAAAGGCTCAACCTCATTAAACTCTTGTGTGATGCTCATAAACTCTTGTGTGATTCGCCTTGGATGGCCTCGTCATTGAAGACCTTCTTGCTGCGAGTGGTCTTGCCGATCCCACCAACACCATGCTAGCACTCTTGTGGGCTTTCGTGTCATCTTCGATCTTCTCCCCAACCAAGGCAGACTGTTTTACACCAAGATTGCCGATCTGGCCTGAGACGCGGATTGGCATGGCCACTCTTTAGTACTGCCTACCTTTGACATCAACAAGTGCTGAAAATTGGTTCAGACATGCCCATGGCCATGAAAAAAAGAAAGATAATCAGTCCAATCACTAGACACTGGCAAAAAAAATTAAACGGGAAAAAGGTGGCTTGCAAACATGAAGACGGCACTATATGTATGCACACAAATTTCCTTGAGATAAAAAAAATGCATGCTCCAGGACGAGATTCGAAGTCAGGCCGACACAGCTAGTAGAAGCGAATCAGATCCAGTGAGATGTATTCAGTCGATCTCTCTCATAGCGCAATGATTGAGCAGCGGGGCTCGGGGAGCATACGCACCTATCGAGCAGAGGGGTGGGAGGCGGGAGCGTGCGCACCGACGTCCCGTCCCCCATCTGGCTCTTTCCCACTCCCTTCTTCGCCGGCGGCATCACACCGGCGGCGGTGGAGTGGTCCAGCCTCGCGGTTCTTATTCCCCGCGTAATAACGCGCACCCCTCCCAGCAGTATGGCGCTGCTACGTGGGCCCGGCCCATTTTCTGGCTTTTGCTTCCCACTGGTTTTTTTTTCAGGGTTCCTTTTCTTTCCCTTTTTTCTAGTTTTTCCTTTTTTAAAAATTCGAGTTTTTTCATATGACAACCCAAGATAGTTTTTAAAACTCCCTATCATTTTAGAAATTCATGATCTTTTTAAAATTCACGAAAATTATTGAAAATCTAAAACTATTTTTGAAGTACATGAAAATTTTCTTAATCCACGAACATTCTTTTTAATGGCGAACGTTTTAATAATTTGCAAACATCTTTTGAATTCTCAAACATTGTCTTGATTGCTTCTTTTTTTAATTCGAAAATATTTTCTGAAATTCATGAATATTTTTTATCATCAAACATTTTATCCAAATTCTACTGTTTTGAAAAAAAATGTAATTTAAAAAATTCACATCTTAAAAAATATAACATTTTCTGAATCTGTGATTTTTGAAAAAAAAAAAACTTTTATTTTTTTGTAAATTATAGTAATTCAGGTATGTCTTTAAATTCCCAATTATTTTTTGAATTCACAAGAAAATTCAAAAACACTTTTCGAAATTTAGAACATTTTTTTAAATTCTAAATGTTTTTTAATTCCTGAGAATTTTTCTAAAATTCAGGAACATCTTTTGAGTTCATGAACATTTTTTGTATCCGTGAACATTTTTAAATGGCAGCACATTTTTAGAGATTTGTAAAAAAAAAGGAACTCATGAACACTTTAAAAGTTCAAAACATTCCTTGGAAGTTGTGAACTAATTTTCAATTCTTGATCAAAATTTTAAATTTTGTTATAAAATAAAAAGAAAGGAAACTAAAATGAAGAATGAAATAGGTGCCTCAAACCACACCCGCCCAACCTCAACCGCTGGCACAGTTGAGTGGCTACTCGATTTGGAAGCGTGAGTAATACTGAGCAAGGCTTAGTTGCGGCAAGGTGGATTTGGTAGATAGGGTTCACATAAAAGAGGAAAGTATACCATGAGAACCAGGGTTTATTCTGCTATAAGATATGTGTTTATTTTTTGGTTATAAGATGCCGAATACATGCAAGAGCTGCCTTATGTAATGGTACAAAGTTAATAGCACGACAAGTAAAATGATGCAGTAAAGGCAAAAAACACTTCAGGTAGAAGGCGAGCCTTCGGATCCTGATGCGAGCTTCCATCTAGGTCGTCTGTTAACTAAAGAATTGAACACTTACTGTACATCTGAAGCCTCACAAATACCCCCGCATGAAAACGATCTTGTCCTTAAGAAGGTGCTTGAAGATTGAACCATCTTTGTACAGTTTGCTTGAAGAAGGCAGGAACCATCATCTTGATGAAATCGGTTTCTTCCTATGTAGTATCATCAGGTGGAAGATTTTTCCACTAGACTAACCGTTGCAGCGCTTGCAGATTGTTGAGTCGAACTTGCCGAGTTTCTTGCACGAGAGCATGGTAACCATATCTACCAACCTCAACCGCTTCAACTAGACCCTTCCTATGTAGTATCACCAATGGTAGATATGAACAGAGCAAAACTTTGGGCCTGATATGCTTTTTCAACTACTCCCTCCGTTTCGAATTACTCGTCGCAGAACTGCATGTATCTAGATACATCCATTTCTGCGACGAGTAATTTGAAACGAAGGGAGTAGATGATATGAAATACTGATGCATGCCAATTTTCTCTGGAAACAACAACTTGTATGCTACACTACACATGAGCTATGGATCAAAATGGACCATAGTATTTACTTTGGAGTTTAATGTTGGTACGAAGATCGAAAGCATTGTGGCATTACAGCTGCATTTTCAGATAAATCATGTAACCAACATAAAAATTGTATCCACTCTTTTGCGGTCAGCATACTTTTTTTTCATCCGAGCTTGAGTTGCTGCTAAATTTGCTTTTCAAGTCGTGCATAAGAGTTTGTATGCCAGTCCGAAGTTCCTCGACTCCATTTTCTAGTACCCGTGGGTATGGTGAAATCACTGATATTTGGTGGGGGATATCCCTAGAGTGCTTCAAATGGGGTTTTCCTCAGAAAAGAATGAAATGATGTGTTGTACCAATATTCAGCAGGTGCTAGACGCGTTGTCACTCTTCTTAGGTTCAGTAGAGGCCATGCAACACAGATAATTTTCAATGCATTGATTATTGTCAGACTGGGGATGATATATAGTAGAATTGCGACACAATTAAATTCTCATTGCCTTAAATATGTCTTACTAGAGCTTACTACTCCCTCCGTCCCGAAATATAGGTGGTTCGAGAAATCCTTCCGACCAGGTGAAAATCGGGGAAATGACCTTATTGCCCCCGCTACATTTGAATCCTCTGCTTCCCGCTCGTCTTCCACCTCCACCTCCGCCCACGTAGTCCGCCCAGGTCCATCCAGGTCCTCGATCCTCTGCCCTCAGCCAACTCGAGCAGATCCTCCGCCCAGGGTCGCTGATGCTTCTCCTCCCCCGTCGCTGCTCCTTCTCGACCCAGGGTCGCCGGTGCTTCTCCAGCCCCGCCGCTGCTCCTTCCTTGCGGAGTTGGGCAGGTGAATTTCTGGAAACAAAATGATTTGGAAACAATTAATACTCCACTGTTAATTTTGGAAGCAATAATTTTTGGAAAGGATCAAATAAACTTAATAAGTTTTGGAAAGGATCAATAAGTTGGGCAGGTGAGTATTGCATAAATTTTGGAAAGAAACAATAGATGTTGGAGTATTGATTTGGAAACAATCAATCCTCCAATACTGATAAATTTTGGAGTATCAATTCGAAAATGGCCTATTACTGCTCTCTGTCACTCACTCACTCATCGAAAGCAACCATTATTGGAAGAATCAAAAGGAAGGAAGCAACCAGTGTTGATGCACCTAGAGCTGAAGGAGTAGACAAATGTGGAGTACAGTACACCGCATAAGACGTAAGGAATCCATTTTTACAATCTGATGAGGAAGAACAAGAAGGAACCAAGCATATGAAGGAGTATTCAGTTACTCCTGCTGCTGCTGCAACAGTACATTACTCCAGGAATAATATGGAATGTGGACTAATCTGAATAATCTGGTCTAATGTAGACAAATGTGGACTACCCTACTCCAAGATGCTACTCTAACTATCAGTACTGGAGTACGTACTGTTTAGTCTGTTGTGTCAAACAACCTATCAACCTGTCACGTTATCTTCCTCATGCGCACACCAAGAGTCCAGGAGTCCACCAGGAGATAGGCTAGGTAGTTAGTTGATATCTATCCATTGTAACCTACTCTATCCCTTCCTCTCCAAGTCTCCTGTAAGATCTCATGTATGCGCTACAGGGTTGTTGCGCCCCTGCCTATAACACGTACCACGCCCCCTCGCACCGAGGACAAGGCGTTTCCGCATATCGCATATGGTAATCAGAGCGATCCTCTCCAAAGCCATCTAGCGATCCAATCTCCAGCCATATCTTCCTTCAGCGCTTCCCAGACTAGCCTCAGCGGCCAAGTCACGGAGAAGCTGACCCGCACCAACTATGTCCTCTGGCGCGCGCAGGTGACGCCGCAGCTCAGGGGCGCGGGAGTCTTCGGCTACGCCGAAGGCACAACACCGGAGCCGGCCAAGTTCCTCACCACCAAAGATAAGGATGGGAAGGAAACCTCTGAGCCCAACCCTCTCCACCCTCCCTGGGTCCGGGAGGACCAGCAGGTGCTGGGCTATCTCCTCAGCACCCTCACCAAGGAGGTCCTGCTGCAGGTGACCACGACCACCACGGCGAGCACGCTCTGGACGACGCTCGCAGGTATGTTCTCCTCGCAGTCTTTGTGCCGTGTCAATAACATACGCACGGCCCTGCTCAGCGCGCAGAAGGGCACCCAATCGGTCGTCACCTTCTTCGCCCATATGCGTGGCCTCGCCGATGAGCTGGCGGCCGCCGACAAGCCTCTACAGGACGACGAACTCATCAGCTACATCCTTCACGACCTCGACATGGAGTACCAACCCTTGGTCTCTGTCCTCGACGTCTGCACCATCCCGGTATCTCTCGATGAACTCTTCTCTATGTTGAGTAACTTCGATCAACGGGTGGCCCTGTACCAAGGGTCGGGCGGCTTCAAATCTTCTGCCAACGCCGCGACCCGTGGCCGTGGCGGCTCCTCCTCTCGCTACCGTGGCCCTCCTCGCTCCAAGGGCAGGCCTGGCGGTAGCGGTGGCAGCAACACCAGCGGATCCAACTCCCGTGGCGGGCGCCCCTCCTCCAACAACACTAGGGGTCGCCGCGGCGGGAACAGCAAGACTCGCCCGGATGCCGTGCGTTGCCAGATCTGTGGTAAACTCGGGCACTCGGCTAAAGACTGCTGGTACCGTTTTGAAGAAGATGAGGCTTCATCCGAAGATGAGGAAAAGGTTGTTGCCGCTGCTGATGGTGCCTACGGCGTCTACACAAACTGGTACCTCGACAGCGGAGCAACCAACACGGGTGAACTTGAGAAAGTAACCCTCCGTGAGAAGTACCCCGGCAAGGACCAAATCCACACCGCGAGTGGGGCAGGTATGAGGATCCGTCATATTGGTCATTCAGTTATACGTACCCCTCATCGTAACATTCACCTTTGGAAAATTTTGCATGTCCCTAGTGCCAACAAAAATCTCCTTTCTGTTCATCGAATAGCACTCGACAATCATGTCTTCATTGAGTTTCATCCTTTTTTCTTCTTGATTAAGGATCAGGCCACGAGGAAAATCCTATATCGAGGTACATGTGTTTGCGGGCTCTACCCATTGCTTCCGGAGTTCAGAAGACTCAATAAACAAGCCCATGGTATTGTCAAGCTTTCCTCCACACGATGGCACGATCGTCTAGGACATGCTTCTTTTTCCTTAGTAGAACGTTTGCTTAGAAAGAATAAGCTCCCGTTTGTTGGTGAGCGTCCTGTTGAAACTATTTTGTGATTCCTGCTAAAGAGCAAAAAGTCATCAATTATCGTATCCTATTTCTACTAGTGTTTCTACTCAGCCTTTACAATTAATTTTCTCGGATATTTGGGGTCCTGCCCCTAGTTCGGTTGGTAGACACACATATTACGTAAGCTTTATTGATGACTATAGCAAATTCTCATGGATCTATCTTCTCAAGAAATGGTCCGAGGTTTTCCAAGTATTTCAAAACTTTCAAGCACTCGTTGAAAGAAAGTTCAACAGCAAGATCATTGCTGTACAGTCAGATTGGGGCGGTGGGGAATACGAAAAACTAAATTCCTTCTTTCAAACACTTGGTATTTCTCACCATGTGTCTTGTCCACATGCTCACCAGCAAAATGGCTCGGCTGAGCGCAAGCATCACCACATTGTTGAAGTGGGTCTAGCTCTCCTAGCCGGTGCCTCTATGCCTCTTAAATTCTGGGATGAAGCTTTTCTCATTGCTGTACACATCATAAACATGCTTCCTAGTCGAGTCATTCACAATGAAACTCCCATAGAAAGACTCCTTCACACCAAACCTGATTACAAGTCTCTTCGAGTTTTTGGTTGCGCCTGTTGGCCTAATCTTCGCCCTTACAACAATCGCAAACTCATGTTCCGCTCGAAACAGTGTGTCTTTCTTGGGTATAGTGCTCAACACAAGGGCGTAAAGTGTCTTGATGTGTCTACTGGACGGGTCTATATCTCTCGCGATGTTGTCTTTGATGAGACGAAGTTCCCCTTTGCTGACCTTCACCCCAACGCCGGTGCACTTCTTCGCCAAGAGATTCCCCTTTTACCGTCCCATCTAGTCGGGTCTGATCAAGGGGGCAATAACTGTGATGATTCAATATTGACTGACCCTCCTAATACCTTGTGTGAGCTTTGTGATGATGCAGGAGACTATACCGAAAAAACAGAAGTCAAAACGATGTGGAAATACCCAATACAGAGCCATATTTCATGTGCTCCAACCAGGGGAACAAATCCCCCTCGGGATCTGCGCCCAGATGTGTCAGCCGGATCGTCTCCGGGATTCGAGCGGCCAGACGCACCAAACTGGCCAGGTGGATCTGCACCAGAATCCGCGCCAACGGCCTCGCCAGGTGCGGTCGGACGGAGGCCAGCGCGCGACTCCTCCAAGCCAACCACGCGGCATCCCGCGGCTGGGGAGGCGACCTCTCCCGCCCCGCGCCAACCAGATGCCGACACGTGGCGTCCTGTGGCTGGGTCCCGGTTCCTGATCCAGCCGATCTGCTATAAAAGGCACGACCTGCGCCGTTGGACAGGCGCTGCCCCGACAGGCGCTCGACCCTGCGCCGATGGCCCGCTCCTGCCATCATGCGCCCATGATGAGCTCCGCGGGGCGGGATCTTCTGTGACCGCTACAATGCCTGCGTCTTCACCATCCGCCGCAGAAGATCCAGCTCGCCCAGATCCCGCTGCTGCTGCTGTTTCAGGATCTACTGCGGGATCGTCTGTGGCACCAACTGCTGCTGCATCGCCGTACACATTTGCAAAAAGGAGTAATACAGCCTATTGATTATAAACATGTGACAAAATATGGCATGGTGTGTTCTACAGGTGAGCCAGGTGAGCCGCACACGTTTGAAGCAGCACTAAAAGATGAAAAGTGGAAGAAGGCTATGAATGAAGAATTTGTAGCATTGCAGAAAAATAAAACGTGGCATTTGGTTCCTCCAAAACAAGGTAAAAATCTTATTGACTGCAAGTGGGTATTCAGAATTAAGAGAAAATCTGATGGAACAATTGATCGTTACAAAGCTAGACTTATTGCAAAGGGCTTTAAACAATGATATGGCATAGACTATGAGGACACGTTTAGTCCTGTTGTGAAAGCTGCCACTATTCGTCTTGTTTTGTCCATTGCTGTTTCTAGGGGCTGGAGTCTGAGACAGCTAGACATGCAGACCGCGTTTCTCCATGGTGTTCTGGAAGAGGAAGTGTACATGAAGCAACCTCCTGGGTTTGTGAATAAAAATAAACCTTCTTATGTGTGCAAACTTGACAAGTCACTGTATGGGTTGAAACAAGCTCCAAGGGCATGGTACTCACGCCTCAGTCACAAAATGCAAACACTTGGTTTTGCTCCTTCTAAGTCTGACACCTCACTGTTTATTTACAACAAGTACAATACATGCATATTTGTACTCATATACGTTGATGATATTATTGTCACAAGTTCATCAGATGAGGCCATTACAGGACTGTTAAAGGATCTCAGTACTGAGTTTGCTCTCAAGGATCTTGGAGACTTGCACTATTTCCTAGGGATTGAGGTAAAGAGACATGAGGATGGACTTCATCTTTCTCAGGAAAAGTATGCAGCAGATCTGGTAAAGAAAGCTGGTCTGCAAGGTTGTAAATCCTCACCCACTCCTTTGTCAAGTTCAGAAAAATTGTCCCTTACAGAAGGGCAGCCTCTAAGTCCACATGATAGTACAAGATACAGGAGCCTAGTAGGTGCACTTCAATATTTAACACTTACTAGGCCTGATATTTCTTTTGCTGTCAACAAAGTTTGCCAATTCCTTCATGCACCCACCACAGTTCATTTGACTGCTGCAAAACGGATTGTTCGATATGTCAAGAACACTCTTAATGTTGGTCTCAATTTCAGTAAGTCACCATCTACACTTGTAAGTGCCTTTTCAGACTTTGATTGGGCAGGTTGCCTGGATGATAGGCGGTCTACTGGTGGTTTTGCAGTATTTTTTGGTCCCAACTTAATATCGTGGTGTGCAAGAAAGCAAGCTACAGTCTCTAGGTCCAGTACAGAGGCAGAATATAAGGCACTGGCAAATGCAACAGCAGAGATTATCTGGCTACAATCCATTTTGAGGGAACTTGGTGTTAGAGGCGCTCAACCTCCATGTTTATGGTGTGACAATCTAGGTGCTACCTATCTCTCTGCTAATCCAGTTTTTCATGCCAGGACAAAGCACATTGAGATAGACTTTCACTTTGTGAGAGAAAGGGTTGCCAAGAAGCAACTTGAGATTCGTTTTGTGAACTCCAGAGATCAAATTGCAGATGGGTTCACAAAACCTTTGCCCACTAGAAGCTTTGAAGATTTCAAACATAATCTCAACTTGATGAAGTTGTGATTAAGTGAGGGTGTCAAACAACCTATCAACCTGTCACGTTATCTTCCTCATGCGCACACCAAGAGTCCAGGAGTCCACCAGGAGATAGGCTAGGTAGTTAGTTGATATCTATCCATTGTAACCTACTCTATCCCTTCCTCTCCAAGTCTCCTGTAAGATCTCATGTATGCGCTACAGGGTTGTTGCGCCCCTGCCTATAACACGTACCACGCCCCCTCGCACCGAGGACAAGGCGTTTCCGCATATCGCACATGTTCGAGTACAACAATACTCCAAGATGCTAATCCAGTTTCAAACTTGCAAATACAACAAGACGAGCCATGTACCCATTTTACCTTTGATGTTAGATCTTGGGATAACAAAGAGTGCTCCCAGTACAAGAAGCACACCAAGTGAGATGAGAACTAGCAGTACTGGATAGTGTATTAACTGAAGTAGTGTTCTGCACAGCAAAATTGGCTGCAGTCAGCAAAACTTTTGGAGTACTTTAATATTCCAGTTAATTAAGAGAGAAAGAATAGAGAAGAGAGGGACAGTTTCTAGTAATGCATTTGATATTCCATGAATTTTCTACTCCAGTAAGTAATTTGATATTTCAGCAATACTACTCCAGAACAAGAAAGGCTCCATATTTCAGCAACCCATAAACAAGAAAGGCTCCATAGAACTTGCTCCACAACATGGAGTTAAGCAGCAACAATCATCATCAGCAGGTACTCTTGGAGTACAAAGTCAGATAATTAATTGAAAATGCAAGATAACCTAACAGAGCAAGATGGAGTACTCCAAGAAAATTAAGAGAAAAAGGTTTAATTGAATTTAGTGGGTGTCTACAAGTGCTATACTGTTTCAGTTAATACAAGAAGAGAAGAAGAGAGAGCAAGAGCTATACTACTCCAGAAGAGAAGGAATTGGTACTAGAATTGCTACTGGAAATCAGCTTGCTTGCTATTCCTAATTAACTTTCAGTTAATATCTCTAAAACTACAGCACCACCGTCGGCGTCGCCCTGCAAGCACAATATATGATTGAAACTCTGAATCGAACGACAACTAATGCAAACCAATCGATCATCGACAGTCAAACTCTGAAGAAATGTTGACCCTTTTTTTTTTCTGCAGCTGCTGCTTGGTTGATTACTGAAGAAATGTTAACAACCGAAGAAATGTTGGCAGAGGAGTACTGCTGCTGCTTGGTTGATGACAGAGAGCTCGGTAGATTACGTGGTAGAGGCCCCAATGAGTGCTTGATCTTATCCAAGAAGCCACTAAGCAATAAGCAACTAGAGTAGACTTGCTGCTTCAGCCTACACCCTGAAAAAAGATGGATCAATCGAGGTAAGCTACTAAGCCCAAGCACTAATGCACTGAAAAAGCACTAATGTTGTTGATTCTGCTTGGAGATCGTGGAATAAACTGACAGTAAACACTACACCCTGGTAATAAGACTTAACCGAAGTAAGCCAAGGCATTGTTACACACTTACACTGAACAAAAGTTGCAAATCGGTCGTACTGACGGGATCTTTGTTCGCTGGTAGCAGCTCAGAGTTTGCTCGCTCTGTTCGCTGTATGGATCGAGCGCGCTGACGGTGAACGAGCTAACAATCGACACAGAGAATGGCGCAGGCAACTCACATCGCCGCCGCCGGCGTCATACGAGGAAGAGTGGACGGGGCCGTACCTAGCGGGGCGAATCAGTCGTAGAGGATGGCCGGCCACGGAGTAGCCCCGGCACCTCGCCCGACGAGGGGTGTGAAGCGGCGAAGCTCGCACGCCGGCGACACGTGCACCGGAGACGAGGCCGAGGGCTAGCTCGGTGGCGTCCATGACGGCGCGGAAGGGGCCAGAGAGGAAGACGACGCGACGGCCGGTGCCGGGGAGGAGCTGGCCCCTGCCGGGGAGCTTGACGTGGGCACCGGAGCCGGCCTCCATGGCTGCGATGGAAGAGCCCCTAGAATCCGACGCGCGAGGCGCCATGGTAGCCTCCGAATCCGGAAACATGTTTTAGAGTCTATGCACCCGTGTACTCCTTATCCAATCACTTATTTCTGCATCACGATTCATGCAAATAATTTTTTTTTTATTTTTCTCATATAGAATATGTATTTGTATTTCAACTTTGCAACACAATAAAGCTTTCTATGTAAAATGTGGGAAAAAACTTACAAATTTTTTGGTCCAACATAAATATACAAAATGAGATTTGTTTGATTAAAAAAAATCTTATTTTTCATATTTATGTCGGACAAAAAAATCTGAAAGTTTTATCTCACATTCTAGTTACAAAGTTATGTTGTACTGTAAAGTTTGAAGTTCAAGACATGTTTTATATGAGAGGAACAAAAAAAAGAAAATTCCATGTAATAAGGTAGTTGTGTAGCACAGATCTCAAAGCAACATTGGAGTGCTAGGATAGTGAGGCCCGGGTGCATAAGCTCACAAAATCTGCATTCCTCCGAATCCGACGGTGGGGCAAGGACGCCCTGCCTTTGTTGTTCCCATCCTTCTTCTTCTTTTTCTGTGTATCTCCGGCACGGACCGCCGCCACCGCAGTAGCACCGAAGCGAGAGGGAGGGAGAAAACGTGACGCACGCAGAACCAGCGCCTCCGCCGCCCAGAAGCTCGTCGCCGGCGCCTAAAATATTGATCTTTGGACGTCCGGGTGGTGGATTTCTGGCCAGGCCGTGGGAGAAGACGTGGTGGGAGGAGAGGAGAGGCCAGCGAAGACGCAAGGGGTGGGGGAGGAGAGACCGGCAACGGCGGGGAGGAGAGGCCGGCAACGAGAGAGGTGATCTGGGAGGGAGGTGGGCAGCAAGTGGCTGTCGGGTGGGAGAACAGTTTGGGAAACTTAAAAAATTTCGTAACATGACGAGATTGGTACGTGGAATACGGCCTACATTTTGGTACCGAGGGAGTACTATTGTATATATACAGAGTGGTAACGTAACTCTACCATTTTGTGTGTTGAAACGCTTGTGCAATGCTCACGGTCTCACGGAGCCGAAAGCAATCTTAGGGCAATTATATATAATCGCAATCTAATACCTAAGCAAAAAAAAGTTGGTCCCAAAAGTAAATGAAAAAGAAAACACCGGGTATATATTGGATGGCTGGTTCCCACTAATAAAAAAATGGTCAAATGTGAAGCACATTAGTGCCGGTTTGAATTTGAGCCGGCACTTATGTGTCCATTAGTGCCGGTTCCAAAGGCTAGGCGGGCGGACATTATTAATACCGGTTCGTGCCACGAACCGGTATTAAAGTGAGTGGTGGCAGGATGTTGTCAGTCCGGGGCCCCTCCAGCACCTTTAGTACCGGGTCATATCACGAACCGGTACTAAAGGTCGTCCTACATAGACCCTTCGTCCACCCGAGCTCGCTCTGTTCTTCCCCTTTCCTCTCTCCTCTTTGTTCTTTTCCCTTTTTCTCTCAAGCTCATCACACATTTTTCCCAAAATTTGTCAAGATTTAAAGGCCCCCATCCATTCAAATGATCACAAAGGTTAGCAACTTTGTCCTTTCATCTCTCATTGCTAGATTAGCTCGTGCAATGCTTTATATAGTGATTGATTTTTGAGTTTAGTAATTTGGGAGGAATTATATATATGTGCTAGTATTTGATTTATATGCAATTTGAGGTCAAAAAGAACACTTAGTTTGCATATGTAGGTGTGATTTACTTAGTGCCTTCTAAATCTCCCTCATAACCACCGTCGATCGCCCGCAACGTCCCGTCGCCGGCACCACCTTGTGGTGAGCCTCTTGTTCATGAAGTTTTATATAAAAAATTGATATTTGTGTGATTTGGATATATAGTTACTCGTATAATTATCTTACCCATACGTTGTTTGTTATACATAGTGCCATGGTTTTGATATCCGTCCCCGTTGGCTCTCGTCCGGGTTATGATTCAGATGTGGTATATTCTCTTTTAAAACTATTCATTGCATTTCGTGTTTATGACAAATTATGCCCATCAAGTTGACATAGATATTTGTATGTAGGAGGTAGTTGAACCGGAAATTCCAACCGACCCTATTGTCGAGAGGTTAAATTTAGTTGAAAGAGAAAACGAGGATTTGAAGGAAAAAATGAAAAGAATTGAGGAGGAGAAGATGGAATTGGAGTTGCATGTTGCCGATGTCGTCGATGATCACAAGATTAAGATGGAGAAAATGCACTTGAAGATTAGAAAGATTAGAAAATATGTCATTCATAGCGAGGCTTGGTATCATTATGCTGTTGGATCAATTGTTACCTTAGTTGCGATCTTGATCGCATTTGTTGTTGCATTTAAATTCTTCAGCTGGAGAGTTATTTGTTTGTTGCATATAAGTGTTGTATGATCTTTATGTATGAACTTTATGTATTGTATTAATTTGGTGTTTTTGGTGCTGTGTATTGAAGATGAGCCGGCAATGAATGTACGATGACCGATGCTCTCCCGAGTTCATTAATGGCATGCGTACTTTTGTACTTGCGGCTGAGGCAAACAAGCGGGCAGATGGTTTTATGCCTTGTCCATGTGCTGGCTGTAAGAATGGTCACAATTACTCCATGTCAAGAACCATTCACGTCCACCTGTTTGAGTCCGGTTTCATGCCCCACTATAATGTTTGGACCAAGCATGGAGAAAGAGGGGTTATGATGGAAGACAATGAAGAAGAAGAGGACGACGGCAGCTATCCTGGCCATGGGTTCCTTGAATATGATGATACAACAATGAGGGAAGAAGCTGAGCCGGCAATGCAGGAAGAAGTTGAGCTGGCAATGCGGGAAGAAGCTGAAGAAGAGGCATCGGATGAGCCCGTTGATGATCTAGGTCGGGCCATTGCTGATGCAAAGAGAAACTGCGCAAGTGATTTGGAGAAGAAGAAGTTGCAGCGCATGTTAGAGGATCACAAAAAATTATTGTACCCAAATTGCGTAGGTGACAAGAAAAAGCTGGGCACCACACTGGAATTGCTACAATGGAAGGCAGAGAATGGTGTATCTGACAAGGGATTTGGAAAGTTGCTGGTAATGATAAAGAATATGCTTCCAAAGGACAACGAATTGCCCGAGAGTACGTACGAAGCAAAGAAGGTTGTCTGCCCTCTAGGGTTAGAGGTGCAGAAGATACATGCATGCCCTAATGATTGCATCCTCTACCGCGGTGAGTACGAGGATTTGAACGCTTGCCCGGTATGCGGTGCATTGCGCTATAAGATCAGCCGTGATGACCCTGGTGATGTCGAGGGCGAGCGCCCCAGGAAGAAGATTCCTGCCAAGGTGATGTGGTATGGTCCTATAATAACACGGTTGAAACGTTTGTTCCAAAACAAAGAGCATGCCAAGGCGATGCGATGGCACAGAGAAGACCGTAAAAAAGACGGAAAGTTGAGAGTACCCGCTGACGGGTCGCAGTGGAGAAAAAACGAAAGAAAGTACGAGAAGTAGTTTGCAGATGACGCAAGGAACGTATGGTTTGGTCTAAGCGCAGATGGCATTAATCCTTTTGGGGAGCAGAGCAGCAACCATAGCACCTGGCCTGTGACTCTATGTTTGTATAACCTTCCTCCTTGGTTGTGCATGAAGCGGAAGTTCATTATGATGCCAGTGCTCATCCAAGGCCCTAAGCAACCCGGCGACGACATTGATGTGTACCTAAGGCCATTAGTTGAAGAACTCTTACAACTGTGGAATGGAACAGGTGTACGTGCGTGAGATGAGCACATGGGGGAAGAATTTGACCTAAAGGCATTGCTGTTCGTGACCATCAATGATTCGCCTGCTCTCAGTAACCTTTCAGGACAGACAAACAAAGGATACCGCGCATGCACACACTGTTTGGACGATACCGACAGTATATATTTGGCTAATTGTAAGAAGAATGTGTACCTGGGACATCGTCGATTTCTTTCGAACAGGCATCCCATAAGAAAGAAAGGCAAGCATTTCAAAGGTGAGGCGGATCACCGGATGAAGCCTCGCCACCGTACTGGTGCTGGTGTACATGATATGGTCAAGGATTTGAAGGTGGTCTTTGGAAAGGGTCCTGGTGGACAACCTGTTCCGAATGACGCTGACGGACGCGCACCCATATGGAAGAAGAAATCTATATTTTGGGACCTGTCCTATTGGAAAGACCTAGAGGTCCGCTCCGCAATCGATATGATGCACGTGACGAAGAATCTTTGTGTGACCCTGCTTGGCTTCTTGGGCGTGTATGGGAAGACAAAAGATACACCTGATGCACGGAAGGACCAACAACATATGGACGGAAAAGACGACATACATCAGGGTCATGCAAGCTACGCTCTTACCAAAGAAGAGAAGGAAATCTTCTTTGAATGCCTGCTCAGTATTAAGGTACCGTCTGACTTCTCGTTGAATATAAAGGGAATAATAAATATGGCAGAGAAAAAGTTTCAGAACCTAAAGTCTCATGACTGCCACGTGATTATGACGCAACTGCTTCCGGTTGCATTGAGGGGGCTTCTATCGGAAAACGTTCGATTAGCCATTGTGAAACTATGTGCATTTCTCAATACAATCTCTTAGAAGGTAATCGATCCAGAAATCATACCAAGGTTAGAGAATGATTTGGTGCAATGTCTTGTCAGTTTTGAGTTGGTGTTCCCACCATCCTTCTTCAACATCATGACACACGTCCAAGTTCACCTATGCGAAGAGATTAACGTTTTGGGTCCTGTATTTCTACACAATATGTTCCCCTTTGAGAGGTTCATGGGAGTCTTAAAGAAATATGTTCATAACCGTGCTAGGCCAGAAGGAAGCATCTCCAAGGGCCATGAAAATGAGGAGGTCATTGAGTTTTGTATTGACTTTATTTCTGACCTTAAGCCGATTGGTGTTCCTGAATCGCGGCATAAGGGCAGACTGGATGGAAAAGGCATGCTAGGAGGGGAACAAATAATATGTCTGGACGG